CACACACAGGATTTTACTCTGTTTCCCAGGCTGGAGTGCAGTGGCATAATCATGGCTCACCGCAGCCTCAACCTCCTGGGCTCAGGCGATCCTTCTGCCTTAGCCTCCTGAGTAGCTGGGACTACAGGCACACACCACCACGCCCAGCTCATTTTTTAATTTCTTGTAGAGACAGGGTCTCGCCTTGTTGCCCAGGCTGGCCTCAAACTCCTGGCCTCAAGCAATCCTCCCACCTTGGCCTCCCAAAGTTCCGCGATTACCGATGTAAGTCATCACGCCTGGCCTAGAATCTGCATTTCTAACAAGCTCTTCAGAGATGGTGGTCCAGTTCGTGAACCACACTCTCAGTCTAGCCATCATCTCATTAGCTCCATTTTACAGATGGGAAAACGGGCTCAGTGGGACCAGACAGCTTGCTAGTATCTTACAGGCAACGGAGCCAGGCCTGGTTGACATCTGAATTCTTCCCTCATACACCGTGCATGGGGGATGACAAAGCCTTGGTCCCTGCCTGGAAGGACAAGAGTCTCTGAGACTAACAGGAGCCTCTTGCCCTGGTCTCGCTGCCCAGGTGCAGAGCTTCCTGCGGGGCTGGCTGTGCCGGCGGAAGTGGAAGACCATCATCCAGGACTACATCCGCTCGCCCCACGCCGACAGCATGCGCAAGAGGAACCAGGTGGTGTTCAGCATGCTGGAGGCCGAGGCTGAGTACGTGCAGCAGCTGCACATCCTGGTCAATAACTTCCTGCGCCCGCTGCGCATGGCCGCCAGCTCCAAGAAGCCTCCCATCACGCACGACGACGTCAGCAGCATCTTCCTGAACAGGTGAGCACACTTGAGGTGGGTCAAGGCGGGAAGGCGGAGACGCACCAGATGGGCCCCCAGACGCAGAGCTCAGCTTTGACGTGAGCCCTCATGTAGTTCCCAGAGGAGGAAACTAAGACTCAGAGAGGAAGGAAGTTGCCCGAGGTCACATGGCTGGACGCCACCCGCCCCAACAGTTGCGGGGCCTGGGGAAGGGATTACAAATGCAGGCCCATGCCGTTACAGGTCTAAACCATTGGTTCTCTACTGGGGCAGTTTTGTTCCCCAAGGATACCTAGCAATGTTTCGAGACATTTTTGGTTGTCACAACTTGGGGGAGGTTGCTACCAGCATCTAGAGGCCAGGGATGCTGCTGTCTACAATACACCAACAAAGAATTACTGCCACCAAAATAGCCGGGTGGAGTGGCTCACGCCTGTAATCCCAGCACTTTGTGACTCTGAGGCTCGCTTGAGCCCAGGAGTTCGAGACCAGCCTGGGAAACATAGGAAGACCTCGTCTTTAAAAAAAATAACTATAAAAAAAATTAGCCTGGTGTGGTGGCGTGTGCCAGTAGTCTCAGCTACTTGGGAGCCTGAGGTGGGAGGGTTGCTTGAGCCCAAGAATTTGAGACTAAGCAGCATAGCAAAACCTCATCTCTACAAAAAAAATTTAAAAATATTAACTGAGCATGGTGGCATGCCTACAGTCCCAGCTACTCCGGAGGCTGAGGCAGGAGGATTGCTTGAGGACAGGAGTTTGAGGTGGCAGTAAGCCATGACCACTTGCACTCAGCCTGGCCCACAGAGTGAGATACCCACTCAAAAAAAAAAAAAAAGTCAGTAATGCCATGGTTGAGAAACCCTGGTTTAAATGTTTAAGAGTTCTAAATCAATCTATAGAAAGTTAAGAAAAATATGTTCTGTTCTTCTGCCTCGACGCCATCATAATGACCTGGAGGCCAGGTTGAAGCGTAGCATTCTCGGGCTCTGTGGAACTCTGCTGCGGACCACGCCTCCCACATGCCTTTATAAAGCTGTCACTCTCCCCCATGGGGACTCTGGGCATTCATATGAGGCTTGAGCTTCTGCAGAAGGCTGGGCTGACGGCTACTGTTCCACTGTCAGCCTCTCCTTAAAAGAATTTTCTTAGGAAATCTTTTAAATGAGCTTTCTGGTGGGCGATAAGATTGTGTAAACTAGATAAAAGCAACAAAAGTGAAGACGTGTAAACAGAGTGCTATTTACAAACACGTCTCATCTAAGAATTAAGTAAATCACTGTGTACCCCTAGGTGTTCATTCAACCACATTTTTCAGATGTTCAGCATTCTGTCACTTCATGAGTCACAACTGGCCCTCCTTCCAGGCTCTCTACCTGAATGTTCAGGACCCAGGGCCACCTTCTCTGTGCCCTCCTGTGTCCCCTTCCCTGCCAGTGTGATGTACTGGTCTTGAGGGGCCTGTGGGACACCCAGGGGGCAGTGGAGAAGGTCTTGAGTTAGATGTGGGTCTGAGGCCCAGGCGAAAGCTAGGCCTGAAGAGGCTGGCAGTCCTGGGGTGGAACAAGCTGACGCCATGGATGTGGACAAGTGTCAGAGTCGGGGGACTGAAGGCAGGGTTGGTCTTCTTAGGAAACAGTTTAACTGAGCTTTCTGGTAGGCAGTAAAATTGTAGAAACGAGATCGTCGAGGTCTAAGTCAATGGTTCTGGGGCAGTTTGCCTCCCTCTCCCCCCCAAGAAGACACTTAGCAACATTTGGAGACTTTTTTTTTTTTTTTT